TTCTCCACCTCATGTTGGATACTTGTAGTCACTGACTGGAGGTCTTTGTTGAGGGCTGCCCCACAAAGGTGTCTTGGAGTGCCGTGGTGGGGGAGCTATGGCTGAGGCCACTAGAAGGCCTCCAAATTCCTTACACAGGGTGTTGCTAGATGCCTTGAAGGTGTACACATCCTCACTATATGCAGCAGACCCTGTGAGGCTGCCCTTGGTGTGGCTGTGTGAAGCCAAGCTATGAGGGAGGTCAAAAGCACTGTATTGGCTTGGCTTGGGAAGGCTATAGAAACCAAGGACATGACCACTGACTCCGTTGATACAGTGTCTATTGCCCTGGTCAAGTTTTTGTGCAGCTGTATCACTCTCCTGTCCTGTACTCTGAGAGAAGCTGGCATTCCTTGCATTTTCTGTCCTTCGGCTTATGAATTGGTACAAGTGTTGATACTCGAGTGTTGATACTCCTGAGGTGCACTGGTGGACAAGGTAGGCTGGATGTGTCTTGGCATAGGTAGCCGGCTAGAGTGTGAAAAGGCTGAGGACTTTCTTGCTCGGAGCAGATGATGACTGGAGCTGCTGAATTCAGCTGGAGAAGAGCAGGGACTATGACTGACTGAAGAAAGGTTTCTCAGGGCATCAGTGCTCTCTTTAGTCTGATTGAAGCTGCAGATCTGGCAGATGCTCTGGACCCACCTATTCATGTCAGCCTCTGTCTCAGCCACCAGGTAGCAGGTGCACTCATTAGTCTTGATATCAAACATAGAACTCTTTTGGAGTTCTTTTTTGTTGAAGGTCAGACCTACATCCAACTGCTTACAGAAGTTTAGGTTGCTGATCCGCAGGGGTTTCTTGGAGTGTTCATTCTTATAGTAATCTAGAACATCTGGGTCACCACTCATTTGACCGCTCTGCAGAATAAACCAGCGTTTCTTCCAAACATAGTGCCCCAACTTTTTCTCAGGAGGCAATTTCTCCAGCCAGCCTGTGCACACCACACCATTGTCGGCTGACTCGAGTGGACAAGGGAACGGGCTGCTGGGTCAGCTGGCTGCTGGTGGGCAGCTCATGGGGGAGGGATTCCTCAGTGGAGGAGTTCCCATATTTCTTTAATAATTTTCTTAGCATTATTACTTGATTGAAAGTTAAAATGAAATCTTACCAGTACCTTGTCTCTTTAAACTTTCTGTGTGATTGACTGTGATCTCTATTCCAATCCAACTCTCTTAGGAGTTGAGGCACCCCTTTTCCAGTGCCTTTACAGTCCAACTCTCTCAGGAGTTGAGGTAGCCCTTTTCCAGTGCTTTTACAATCCAACTCTCTTTGGAGTTGAGGCACCCCTTTTCCAGTGCCTTTACAGTCCAACTCTCTTTGGAGTTGAGGTACCCCCTTTTCCAGTGCCTTTACAATCCAACTTTCTTAGGAGTTGAGGTACACCCTTTCCAGTGCCTTTACAATCCGACTCTCTTTGGAGTTGAGGCATCTATCAGGGTCCCCTTTCCTTCCAGATCTCCGTGGGACCTCCATTTGTGGCTGCTCTTCGCCACTAAGTCTGAGTATTGGGCGAAAGCCTGGAGATTTGGATGAACCACAAGACTCCTGGTCCTTTTCTGAGAGAATGTCTCCCACCTTTATTGTGGAGCAGCCTTATATACAAACATACAAAAACCCCAGGTCAAAGGGTTCCCAACAGGATATTGAACCCAGTGGGGTGAGGTCAGGAAAACAGGAGATACCTGTGGTTATGCTGGAAAACAACTCTTAGAGACCCCATGGGGGCTGGGTCCCAACAAACCAGTTTGTCTGTGGAGACTTCATCCACTGACTGAGGGAGGCAGATTCAGAGACCCATGGGGCAAATATTGGGCTGAGTCCTGGGAGTCCTGCTGAGAAGAGTGGGGGAAGGGATTATAGGAGCCAGGGGGTTAGGGACATGAGAGGAAAACTCACAGAAAATTAGCTTGACTCATGGGAACTCACAGAGTCTAAACCAAAAAACCAGGGACCCTACATGGTACTAACCTAGGCCCTCTGCATGTATGTGACAGTTGTGTAGTTTGGTCTAGTTGTGGGTTTCTGGCAATGGGAACAGGGCCTGTCCCTGGTGCTTTGGCTGGCTCTTGGGAACCTATTCCAGCCTGAATACAGGGGGGGAGGTGTTAGGTCTTAAGGAAGCTTGGTATGCCATGCTTTGCTGATGCCCATGGGAGGCTTGCCACTTTCTGAATAAATATGGAGGATGGGTAGATTGAGGGAAGTGAGGGAAAAGAGAGAGGGGAGTCTGAGGTAGGGATGTAAAATAAATTAATTTTTTTTAAAAAAAATGTTCTTCAAGCAAAATAAATGTTACCATTATTTGAGTGAAAGTTGATGGTGGCCATGACTGTTTCTTTGAGACATGCTCTGTGACCATTGAAGGAACCAGCTTCCCTTTTGGCAGCCATAACAGCCGAACACGTGCTTGCCATAAACCTGCCTTGGTCACGTAGAGGTCAGATGCCTGTCTCGTGACAAGGAACCAATCAGAAGTTAGCTGGTGGCGCTATGCTTTACGACCCTGGGTGTGCTTTACGGACTAGCGCCCAGCAGTGGAGGGGAGAGCATAGCAACCACCCTGGGAGGGCCTATGAGCCATAACAACCAGTTGACCAATCAACACAGGGCAAGCCCTCCAAGCCTGGAGGCACACCAATCCTGAGCCTGTGTGTACCCCTAGACACTCCCCTTACGCTGCCCTATAAAGATCTATGCGCAGCGGCTTCAAGCCGTCTTTTCTAGCCGTCTGCCATGGCGGGTGGGTGAGGTTAACTCGTTAAATTACAATAAAGCCTCGAGCAGTTTGCAGCAAGCTCTCGAATCCGCCTGGTGATTGGGGTGACCGCGAACGTGGCCTGGGACCCCGAATACTTGAGTTTTCGGGGGTCTAACACCATTACTACCACAGTATCCAAGGAAAGCCATGGTGGTAATTCACTCTGAGCTAGTGGTTAAGTACTTTAGTTTTTGTTGTGGTACAATATGGAAAAGTTACTTTAAACAGCTGTGACTACTAAAACAGATCTCCCAAACTGGTTGTCAGTTACTCTATTCCATTACTAACCAGCTATGCAAACTCACATTGGCTGGGCTTGTCCTGCCCTGGGAAGAGAATGGACTTGCCAGCTTGAGGGGAGGGTGTGAATCCATTTATAGGAAGATGACCTTCCGAAAACAGCTCACTGCTGCAGCAAAGAAAAGTTGGTAAGAACAAAGTTTCCATATCCTCAAACGCAGAGTGAGCATGAGGAAAATAATGCATCAAATCATTGAAGATTGGTTAGACATCGTAAATGAACTTGCAGATAAAGAGAGAAACCTAGGACAGCCCATTAAAATATAGTCACTGTCTCTGTACCAGTCATGACTGGAAGCATTGCTTCCTAGTAAACCCTTTAGCCTGGAGCTTCATCAACCTCGTGCTCACAGATGACTTTCAGACCACTGTACTCTTTCCTATCATCTGCATTCCCTGTATCCCCATTTCTTTATACACTCTTAATGAGAGGCAATACACTTTCTATTTTTCTCTTCTCTGAATAAGTGGCTCAGATATATATATATGCCCACTGCATCCCAAGCTTCCCCCTGGAAACTGCCAGCCTTTCTCCCCTCCTCACCTGTTTCTCTCTCAGCAGCATCACAATCTTAATGCCTCAGTCAACTCTTACCACCCTTTCCTTCTCCTTTATTCTCGAGACCAGCATCTTTGTGGGTGGAAATGAAACACCACACTGCTTGGACTTACTCAGGTGCTGACTCAGTGGGGCTGACTGTGACTTACTGAATCTAAAAGTTCCTAGACCTCTCTCTCTCTTGCTCTTACTCTAGCTCTAGCTCTCACTCTCTCCCTTTTCTCTCTCCTCTCTCCCTCTTCTCTCTCTCCTCTCTCTCTCTCTCTCTCTCTCTCTCTCTCTCTCTCTCTCTCTCTCTCTCTCTCTCTCTCTCACACACACACACACACACACTGAACCTCTCCCTGTACGATATCACTGGGATGTCCTAGCTGGTGCAGCCAGGTGAAGCTCCAGGTCCAGCTTCTGAAAACACTACTGCCATCAACTCTGTTTTCTCCACCTGCTTCAAGACTTCAAGGAAACAGTCAAGACTCCTTAGCAGGACATTACAGGCTCCCCCTCACTTTACCCCTAAATCCTGCAAACTTACCTGCTCCAGGTTCCCATTCCAATGAGCCTAACATTCTACCCATCAAACACCATCGTATTTCCTGTATTTCTCTTGGGATGGTACTGGGTATCAAAGAACAGAAACTGGAACCGAATCCCAAGCATTCTGTTTTCTGGGTATGTGACCAGGAAAGCCAGTCATTTGTTATGCGTGACCTCATGGCTTCATCAACAGTGACACCCAGTGATGATAACACCTGAGCCTGGAGTTATCATCTGTTGATAATCCCATCAAGAATGTTGTGGAGATTCATATGCTAATTCATCCCACACACAATACTGTACTTAACACATGGCAGCTGAGAACTTGTTCAAGTGGTTCCCCTCTGTATTCAGTAATATCTGTGATATGCACATTGTCTCAGTGTCACACCCAAAGGCTATGGCTAGGCCTTTAGGAAAGGTTGCTCTGGTTAAAGTAAGGATTAACCCCTGAGACCTCCTCACATCAACTACCCATTCACCCAAGAAGCACCATGCTGGAGTCCAGGGCTGACTGAATTGGCAAGTGTCTGTGTGCCTTTAACAATCAGGAGCCACTCCTTCCTGTCTTGGTTAAACCAAAGTGGCAGTCCCTAGCAGGACCCTGTTCTCTATGTCAGTCTTCAAGAAGCCAATCCATATGCTTCCCCTGTCAAAGTAGCATCAGCACTGTAGCCTGTTTGCTTATGTGCACCTCTGAACTTGCAAAATTACATCCCTTTTTATATCTAATTCGCCCCTGAGGGAAAAAAATGTTTAAAAGTAATTTCCTTTGTTTGTTTGTTTGTTTGTCTGTTTGTTTTCAAGGCTTACCTCCCATCCCTTCAGCATCCAGAACAGGCTTTGCAGAATTTTCTATGAGGGAACGCATGAGGGAGAAGCTTCAGGCTGCAAGGGTAAGTAAGAGAGACAGACTGAATATTCCCTTCAGGGCTGATTGCAGTTTTCGGGGGTTTGTCTTCCATGCTTTGTATGCTCCAAATTGTGTGTTGCTGAGAGTCATCCTATCTGTTCTTCAAGTCCTAAATGTTAATAATATACTTTGCATTGGTAGAGATGAAAATTGCACCAGAAAAATGGCATTCATTCTTCCAAATCATTTTCCTTGCTCTGATCTGTACAGAGGGACAGTGTGTAATTGTTTTACTGACTCTTCTTTATTGAGATGGTGGTGGGGGTTCTCTGATAATTCATTATATATAATACTTTCCCGTTTGGTTTTTCAGTCCAAGGCAGAAAGCGCATTGCTGCGGGATGCCCCCACCCCTAGACCCCGGCGCCTGCAGAGTCCTAGTGAGAGGGAAACAGAGACCGAATTTGGCACAGAGGTGAGATGTGGATTCTTTCTACTTTGACATGAGATTCTTCTACTGTCTGGTCCTACTTTCCACTTCTTCACAGTGGGACAAAACTATAACTAAATTCTTGGCATTGTTTATGGACTGAGTTATCATGTGTTAACAGTGTTTTTATCAGTAACAGATACACAGTAGGTCCTCTGGGGTGGGAAGTTTCTTGGTTTTCTTCCTGAACTGGATCCAGGACCTTGTGCATGCCAGGCAAGTACTCTACTAACAACTTACATCCTTAGCTTCCCTTGGTATACATTCTCTAAATATGAGCTATCCTTACAGGTCTTGGTCAGAAAAACACAAATATTACAAAACTTGAAAAATATCCAAAATCTGAAACAACTCTGGTCCCAGGATGATAAGGGGCACTCAATCTATGTAAGCAGAAGGCTCAGCTCACCAAATAGCCAGACCTGAGGCTCAGTAAGAAAGATGACCCTTGAGCCCTGGGTCCTATGCTGGACTTACATTCCATCATAATTGATGCTTTTCTTTAGAGATAGAAAATGATCTTCTGTGAAATGAACAATTTGTAGATCTATAGAATAAAACAAGCCTTTTCATTTGCAGCCTATTGAGTATAAAGTTGTTTTATTTTTTTTTAATTTGTTTAGTCTAAACAGATCAGAGGTAAGAAAGAAAACATCTAGCCTCCCCACCTTTGGCTATATCTGAAGTCCATAAACACAGCACCCTGTGGAATGACAAGTGTTTAAGATGTTCAAGGACCAGAAGATAAGCTAGCTGTTAGAGGGGCACTCTGGTTTCCTTTCTGATGTTGTGATAAAATTTCTGACAAAAAGCAACTTCAGGGAGAAAGGGCTTATTTATCTTATAATTCTAAGTCATAATCCATCATTGTGGAGATGTGAAGGCAGGAGCTTAGAATATCACATCCACAATGAAAAACAAAGAATAAATGCATAGCTCTGCGCTTTCTTGTTTTCTGTTTATACTCAGCTAGCTTTCATCACTCTTAGATAGTCTAAGACTCCCTGCCTAGGGCATTGTGCTTTCCACAATGGGTTTTGTCATCCTACATAATCAACAATCAAGATACCCCATCCCTAACACATACACACACACACACACACACACACACACACAGAGAGAGAGAGAGAGAGAGAGAGAGAGAGAGAGAGAGAGATGTCCAGGTACCAATCTGATCTAGACTCTGTAAATCATTAGGACTCTCTCCCAGGTGACTGATTAAAGGTTCTATCAAGGTGATAAGTAAGCCAGCACAAAGGCTAACCCTCAACTTAGAAAACTCAGAAATAACCTTCATTTCTATTATTTTTTTCCCTTTACAAAGCCAAGTAAAGAAGTAGGAGGGACTCAACAAGAAGATAACACCCAGAGTCATTCAAGATTTAAGCTCCATGATTCTGCACGAAAAATCAAGTCAAAACCCCAGGTTAGAAACTCTGTCTTTAAAAATGATGGTTGTTTCTGTTTTTCAAAAATATCTAATCACAGGTGCATATCTGTACAGCTGACCCCTCTTGCCATGTGTACTAGAGACAGATGCGGGGGAGGGGGGAGGCTATTTCTACTTTTAAAGTTCTGGAAGCAAGATTAGAATTCTGCCCCATGGGGGGAGGAGAGAAGAGGACAGGGAATGGTAATGCTGAGAGGTTGTTCCCCAGCTTTCATGATTATAAAAAACTTTAAAAGTCCAACTTCTAAAATTTTCGCTCAGGGTTCAAAAAAAGGAACTACAAATAATGGAGGGAACTAAAATCTGAGGGGAAAAAGAATTGACTCACACTCCATTGCTCCTCTGCATGCTCTTTCTTCTTCTTTTCTTTTTCTGTCTCTCTCTCTCTCTCTGTTCCTTTGTTTCTCTATATCTCCTCTTCCTCCAGTTCTTTGGGGTACAGGTATATATATACACACATGTTTGCAACAGTAATTCTTTCACAATACAATAAGTGGCTTGAGTTTCTCAGGGTCAGGAAGGCAGATAAGATTTAAACACAGAGCAATAAAAACTTCGAGGAGAAACTTTTAGCATCATTGCTTCCAGCTGTTGTCAAAGACAGGGTCTAAGTTTAATTTGCACAAGAAACAAAACCTGGCACCTTCCAGTGCTCTAGCCTCAGTGGAGCACAGGCCTTCAGGTAAGTTTGCTTTTCCCTGGGGATGAGCAAATGGGCTGATTACCTTTGTCTTTATCTTTTCAGGGGAAACAGAAGGGAGCAGTAAATCTCTGAGCTAAAATCTTGAGCTAGTAAAACAAGAAGTTTGAGAATCTTTTAGTACAGGGTTAGTTTAGGTTATCGTTTTTTTCTCTATCTGCCAGTGAGGTAAAGCCAAGGGCATGCTTATATTTTCTATCCATCTAGGCAGCTATGAATCAACAACTTTGGATGTGTAGTAATCTATGTCCTTGGATATTTGGGAATGTCTTAGATGGAATGCTTCTGCCTGGGCCCTAAATACTGACCAAATGCCTGTCAATAAAGATAATTGCAGGAAGGCAGATCTCTGTAATTACAATGGAGAGGGGGAAACAAGGACCTGATAGTGGGAAACAGGCCTCACACATAGCTAAGGAATATAATCAGTAAACTAGGAACTGTTAATGGAGAACAGGTTTTACACCCAGCTAAGGAGTGTAATCAGTAAAACTCCAAATGCAGGGATAAATGTTTCCAGTAAATGATCAGATGGTGCTGAACTGTGGGAAATAAATCCCAAGTTTGTTACAGAAAGGAATAAGCTACAGGAAGAATCTACAGCAAGACACAGCCAATTCATTCACGACACCACAATGCCAGGTACAGCTTTTGTACTGGTTTCAACCTTCAGAAGAATCCTTAATTCTTCTAAGTTATTCATGATAAAAAGGCTGTATAATTACTGTGTGGTCTTGCGGCTTATAGCACATGATGGGGAAGGAATGAGGGTACCAAGTCAAAAACTAAAACAATAATGTCACTTGTTAAAAGGATGAAGAGATCCTATACATCTCATTATTAAATAAAATCATCTCTTCATTGGTCCATAGAACAATGAACATACTATTTGACACCTTAATAATCTTTCCTGAAGCTCTTACTTTTGTAAATACTATATTTTTATGCTTATTGGGATGTAATTGTTCTTTTTTTATAAGCAGAGTTGGGGAAAGATGGCTCAGCTACTAAGAACATTGGCTACTCTTCTAGAAGACCCAGGTTCAGTTTCCGGTACCCACATGGCCACTCACAATCATGTTACTCCAGTTCTAAGAACTCTGATGCCCTCTTCTGGCCTCTGTGGGCACTGCATGCACATGGTGTACATACATGGAGCCAAAACTCTTATACACATAAAATAATATTTTAGAAAGCAACTGTAGTTACTTATTTTAAATGCTAACCAGTTGCCTGCTGCACTAGTTAAAATTTGTGACCTTCAATTCAATTAATCTTCAGCAAAGACAATAGAGTCAACAGGCCCCCATGAGCTGCATCAAGCCAGCTGTCAGTTAAATGTGTGTGGGGTTCATTCAGTTTCCCCATGTAAGCTACTTGCTGTCCATTTCTCTGCAGCCCCCTCCCGGCTTCCCCTCTGCAGAAGAGGCCTATAATTTCTTTACTTTCAACTTTGATCCTGAACCAGAGGGGAGAACACAAGTAAAAGGCGGAGACAAAGCTCATCAAAAGGACCAAGAGGGCGAAGAAGGAACACATGCACAAGAGAGAACAAAGAAAATGGTATCTGATACAGTGATGGTGGTGAGGGGGGAGACTAGGAAGACAGATGAGAGAGGAAAGTGCCTGGAAAGGAGACTATACCACCTCACCGGACAGCTCACCTGTGTCTTGGTTGGAAACAGAATAACAACTATGCAGTGAGAATTGATCTGGAATGACTTTCTGTAGCCTTTGACACAGAGTGGGTAGCAAAGGCCTTGATTAAATCTGTCTGTCTTTTCTTGTGAGGGAAGAAATGAAGTAGCATGGTTTGAGGGGTTTCTTGCTAGACTTTGTACCATGGTTACTCTGCATTTCACTCAGAGTACTTGGCTTCAGAAGGCAAATGTTACAGACCTGCCTCTTTTCCACAGCCTTACAAGAGAGTTAAGTTTTTGTACCATCTATCACTCCTAAGTATAAATTCTGCTACGTAACTCTGAGTCTGGATTCTTTAAGTAAATGTTATCAAGTAAGCATCTTCAAAGGCTTTGAGCCATTTGATTTTTACAATTTCTGTTGTTTGGGTTACCACTTCTGAGTTGGCTTCCTCTGGTGTACAGTATTCCAGGTAGGTGAAATAGCAAAAAGTAATCAATGAAAACCCACCTGTGAAATATGAAAGGACATCTGCATCTGAAAAGAAGCAAAAGGGAAGGGAAGTGTGTGTGTGTGTGTGTGTGTGTGTGTGTGTGTGTGTGTGTGTGTGTAGTGTGTCTATTCGTGTATGTAAATGTGGGTTGGTATTGCCATAGTCCTTGTGTGTAGGCCAGAAGCTTTCAGGTGTCTCCCATCACCTTCCACCTTGCTTGAGACAGGCTCCATGTTTTCTGTCCACTGTGTGTGACAGGCTAGCTGGCCAGTGAACCTTTAGGACTTCTGTCCATGCATCACATCTCCCTGTGGGAGTCCTGCAATTACAGATGCTCTCATTACACACCTAGCTTTCATGTGGGCTCTAGGGACTTGAACTCAGTCCTCATGCTTTTATAGTAAGCACCTTTTCCCACTTACCTATTTCCCTCAGCCTGGAAGATAATTAATTTTCACATTAATTTTCATAGGTTCAGTATTAGTAATTCTTCTCCCAAGTCTGCTAAGAATCTTGATATAACTTTTTTCTTGTTACGTTTCAATGTTGTATAGGAGGAAGAAGAGTTGCTTAATGGCAAGGATGCTGAGGACTTCCTGTTGGGCTTAGCTTCCACAGCCCATGACTTTGTGTCAGTCAGAGCCGCGGAGTACGAAAGTGTACACATTAGGCTGGAGAAGGAAAAAGAAATCCTCTTCACACCCAGTCGGTTGACAGGTACTCACTCCTTCTTTCCTTGCTCAGCTTGGACACTTCCATTTGACCACAGATGAAATATGTTTGCCGCGTAAAGGCCACTATTTCCAGAGCTGATTCTAGGTTTAAATACGACTTACTAATTAAGAACCATCTTTGGGGGCTGGGGAGATATCTCAGTGAATAAAGTGCTTGACAACCTGGGTTTGGATCCTTGGCATCCATGTAAAAAGCCCGGTGACATAGCCTATAATCCCAGTACTGGGAAGTGAAGACAATTGGATCCCAGGAGCTGGGATCCTGGCTGGCCAGGAGAGCTCTAGGTTCTATGAGCGATCCCATCCCATCCCATCTCAAAAACTTAATGCACACACATTCACACTCACCTGAGCACAGATATACACCTGCTCTGTAGCCAAGGAAGAGTGGGAGAAGAGACTTCAACCAGGAGCAGACTCCCTTATTCCCAGGTGCCTTGGCTGAAGAAAGGAAGAAATAAAAATTGCATAAAAGATGACTTGGTGCATCACAGAGGATGAATAATATGGGTGAATGGCTCAGTGTGATGATCAAATCCCATAGCTTTGTCCCATTGCTGTGGCTATTGTAGACAACACTAACTTTTAAAGGAACATATGCTTACCCCAGGAGTGCAGGAAAAGCACCTTTCCTAATTTACTTTTGCTAGCACAGCAGTATATCCATGATAAATAAGGATGCATATATTGGGTGAACAGTCAAAACTACTTTAACAAAAACTTTCAGATGCTACCAGATTAGTGCCAACATGTTTTTTTAGTATGAATGAATGTTTTATTGAATGAACAAATGTTTTAGATGAATGAATAATGATAAATAAGCTTGCCCCATGTTTTCACAGAAACAGAAGGGAGTTTTCTAGAAGTGGGTATTTCGGGTTTGGGGGGCTGGAATATATAGGAAATACAGTTGGCCACACACAGGCAAGACAGCATGGTCAGGTACTTACTGTCATTCAGAGTGAGATAATTATGAGCTCTGTAAACATAACTCTTGGGGTTTATCTGGCCCCACAGCCATTCTATCCTACCTTTTCTTCTGTCTTCCCTAGTCCATTCTGCTGCAGTGAGCCCCACAGCCTTGACAGAATCTCAACTCTGCTAGAGTCCCTCCCAAGCACAGAGCCCCAAGCTCCTTCCTATGATCTGAATAGTTAGTTCCCTTGCTCTTCCCTGCTAACTGTGCCTTGTCTCGCTACAGCATGGCATTCTGTTTGTTTCCTAATAGCACAGCCTTGAGTACAGTGATACCTGGCTGAAGGGTGAGGATGCATTCTGAGAAAGGTCATTAGGTGAATGTATGGCTGTGAGAACATCACACTGTGTACTTATGCAAACCCAGCTGGTATAGTCTCATATACATCTGAATTGGATTGTATAACACATGGCTCCTAAGAGAAGCCCTGCATAGCATGTCAACATGCTGATATTGTAGGGACTCAAGGCTAAGTACAAGGACACCTGAAATGGAAAGCTTCGAACTCCACTGTAATCTCATATGATTGTGAGTAAAACATCTCCAGCAGAACCACTATGCAGTTCACGTGAATGGCTGCACGCGTCCTTCCTTTGCAGGGTGCACCCTCCTGCAGAGCACATCCACTTCTCAACACTAGGGTGGCAAGTTGTCTGCAGACTCTTTCTTGTATCTTGAGTTCATTCCCTCCCCTCCCTGGGTCTCTGTCAACCCTGTGTCTCTTCATCAGATGCCACTCTCTAGTAGCAGCCTATGGACCTTGCCTCTTGTTGCTGCCTGTTGCTTCCTCTGCCACCTGAGTGACTCCACACAGCATCAGCCTGGCCTGGAGCCCTGAATCACAAGAGCGTCTGTCACTAGGAGGGTCTCATCAAAAATCTATTTTTTATGAATAAAAAAGAAAGACAGAGTGCACCGATAATCCAGGTCACTATCACTTCACCCAGAGAGACTTCTCGTTTTCATTGCTGGCAATCATTCCCAGGTCCTTGCACAAGTCAGCCCCAATCTCTACACTGACTGCATTCCCAGGCCGTGAGGCCATAAGCTTTTCAGTTTGCAAAGCATTTCCTTATACTTGACATGATCTAATCTCCCAGGAACCCAGGGATGGAAAAACTGCTAGTTCTTATACAAAAGAAAAGAGCTCCAAGTGCCTGGCCTGAATCCACCAGGCTAAAAAGCAATAGCTTAAACTCCCATACCCCAGCCCTTGGCTCTGAACATATGTTCTTCCCAGAATGCCCCACTGCCGAGCCCAGTCCTGAATCACTTAGGTGCTATGTCTTAAGTTTAGGAGTCTATATGATACTCAAATTAACACATTCATCTTTTCCTTGGTTCTGCTTCTAGAAATTAATTTGAAAAATGTGGTTTTTTTCCCATAAGTGAAATCTCTGGCACTTACTGTAATTTCCCAAATGGCAGTTTGTAGGGTGAGGCTGGCACTTATGTCTCTTGTATTTATTTGTGAACTACCTAGTGCCGACCTATAAGAAGCTTCCTGAGAATGTGCAGCCCAGATTCCTGGAAGATGAAGGTCTCTACATCGGCGCAAGACCGGAGGTAGCACGCACCAATGAGAACATCATGGAGAACAGACTGCTGATACAGGAGCCTGTGAGTGGGGATCCTCAGGGGGACCTGGCACCTTGCACGGTCTGCTGTACTCTTTTCCTCTGTAGAGTTTGTCAAGGGACACTGGCTCTTTCTGGTTTTGTTTTTTGCCTTTGTCTCTCTGTACATTCTGAGACCCCACGCCCCAAACAACACCACCTCTTGACTGCTCAGAGCATGACTCCTGATAACTAGGTGCACACATTTTCCCGGGTCCCAAAAGTTTTTAATCTTCAACATAGAATACAATCTCAATTCTGAGTTTTTCCCCTTAAATCTTGAACAAAGAGAACCTAAGATTCTTGTTAAGCATTTAGTTACTTGTTTTTGCCCCCTTGGTTTTTTGAGACAGGGTTTCTCTGTGTAGCCTTGGCTGTCCTGAAACTCCCTCTGCAGATCAGGCTGGTCTCAAAATCCTCCACCTGCTTCTGCCTCCCGAGTTCTGGAACTAAAGACATGTACCACTATGCCTGGCCAATTTACTTATCTTAAATGTAACTTAATTGTGGAAGGTGTTAGTAAAAAAGTCAATTTCATAGATACAGAAACTTTTTATAGTTCTTTTAGGGTCCAAGGTAACACATGAAATAAATAACCGAAACAAAACTGTATGCAAATGTTTCACAAGATGTTTTCTGTCCAAAAATAAAGGAATATGGCCCTTCTCTCTGCTTGACCCACAGGGGAGGAAGTGGTTTGGAGATGATGGCAGAATCCTAGCACTGCCCAGCCCCATCAAGCCATTTCCCTCAAGGCCATCCCTAGCCACACAGGAGCAAAGCACCAAGGCCGAACTGGAGACTTTGTACAAGAAGGTACACATGCCCTCTTTGGTTTAATCCCTTGTTGATGTGTGAAACTGAAGTTGTCCTGCTTACTGAATAGCTTGAGTTCATAACATTCTCCTTAGATTTTTCTAAACGAGTCATCATCTCACACAGGAAGCCCAAGTAGCAATTATATGAATGAGTCTAAGTCTGCCCACCTGATCCTAACTCACACAGGCATGAGTGTCCTAACTAGGAAGGGCTCTGTCATCATCTTTATTTGCATAATCAAGGTAGCTGCTCTTACTTTCCCATTTCTTTTGCCCCTTCCTTTCTCTTTACTAATTTACTGGAAGACTCTTTACTATGCACTGGAAGACTGTTTCTTCCTTCTCATTTTTTATGATCTAAGGTGTGGTTGCTCTTGACCACTAAGTCCGAGTATTGGGCGAAAGCCTGGAGATTTGGATGAACCACAAGACTCCTGGTCCTTTTCTGAGAGAATGTCTTCCACCTTTATTGTGGAGCAGCCTTATACACAAACTTACAAAAACCCCAGGTCAAAGGGTTCCCAACAGGATATTGATCCCAGTGGTGTGAGGTCAGGAAAACAGGAGGTACTTGTGGTTATGTTGGAAAACAACTCTTAGAGACCCCATGGGGGCTGGGT